TGAGAGAGAGAGAGAGAGAGAGAGAGAGAGAGAGAGAGAGAGAGAGAGAGAGAGAGAGAAATACAAAGAGAAACAGAGAGAGAGAGAAAGAGAGAGAGAGAATAAGGGGAAGAGAGGACCCCGACCCACTTGGCCGTGGATATCATTGTCTGCCTGAGTACCACGCTGAAGCTTGCTAACCCGCCATTTTTTTGGACGAAAAAGAAATACTGAACAGCAGTTGCATCCCCAATTTTATTTTTATTTAAATTTTAATGATTGTCGATGATACTCAAGCAAATTTATTTCGAACATTTTTCTTTATCATTGATTGGAGCTCGTGGTATGTTGTCGAGCGCATCGGCCCCCGCTTTTTTGCAGAGTTTAACAAAAACTTAACAAAAAAAAGACAACTCAGGGACGATGCATACATAACCCTCAGACCGCCGATACGGTCACGGTCGCGTCGTCCCTTCGCCGCTCTAGCCGGGTGCGCCAACTGTACATCCCGCGGCCCCCTACGACAGGACAAGTTCCCGCGGGGCATAAGCTTGCTTCCCTAAGGGGTTGTCACCACCCTTAGGGGCGTATCCCTACCGAGCTACTGATCCACGTGTGAAAGTTTTTACATGCAGTTACAGAGGTGGGTCAGTCGAGGGCGTTTGCTCGTTCATTGTAGTATAGATACGGTTGGTTAACGCCAAACGAACCCGAACGTCGTCCATCCCTAGGGCGCTGATCTCCTAGGTGCGGAACAAACGTCGGCCGACTAGGACGGTCTCAACCAAGCGTGAAACCCAATCTTCCTAGTCCCTTAGACACACAGTCAAACAAAAGTTACAACAACCACACGTATAATTATATAAAAAGGAATCGACCGTAGTCGACAAATATATATCCAATATGAAATGATAACTAAAGAAATCGAATCATCATATGAACCATCCAATAATACAATATCAAAATAAACCCCGACCACCTCAAGTCGAACTCAACAAAACAATCATACAACCGACAACAAGGAGTTGGCTACCGAAATAACATTGATGTTGCCAACATGATAGTCGTACAACCTCAATTTTGACTTGATGAGATGCGATGCCAAAGTTATTCATTTCAGCCTACCGTCGACCTAAGATTCGACACACATACATGTTTTCATCCATTTCCTATCTTTTTGGATGACAAGATCCCGTGCGAATGATTCTTGATCAGGGGCATTGCTTGAAGTGTTGCATGCTTCTCCCTCTAGGAAGTGGTCTGGGGTACTCCTCCTCGCCTGAGCACAAGGCTCGGATCTCAGAAGTCGGACCGTCTCCACCGAACCAGCAAGTACCCCCCGTATAACGATCCACTCCGGGTCGATAACAGGGCCGGCTCCTGAAGCAACGAACCCCCGCCCCAGATGCTTCATAGAAATAGTGGATGCGTCCACTGCAAGTAGATTTCATTTGTTATTTTCCCTCATAAGTTCATGGTAACTTAGACGAAAAGAATCAGAGGAAACAGAAAATAAGAATCATTTGGACAGGTACAGGTATAAAAGGTCATTCGGGATAGAAAGTGTCAATCCTAGGGGAAAGATTAAGTCCATTTGACCTCAACTGCTTTATTTCAATCATATACATTTTACGACATGCATTGAATTAACCTTTTTCATAACAACAAGTCCTTATTGACATCCATGTAGGTGAGAAGTAAAGGGAAAACAATCAGTTTTCCTTCTCTCAGATAAGCATAATCAATCTTCTTTGCAAGCATCCTTCTACCTACCTGCACAACCTGCATAAAAAACAAGTTCAAAAGAAACAGTACAATCCAAGACTCACGTCAGACCTTTCCATTCCATGCATGACTAGCACAACTTTCTCCACCTTTTCTTTCGGACGTTCAAAACAACAGGGTCAAGCAAAGTGTGGGTTCACACAGGTGTGACGGGAAATCTGAGTCATTCAACTGACCTTAAATGAAGCTTGAATCGGCTCACTCAAGAAAGCTGAGTAATATGCCAATCAAATTTGAAAAAAATAATCGTCATTATAGCTGAAAATGTGCAGCTCGCAGCTCCACAGCTTACGCCTGTTCCACTGAACGACGACCGCCTCTTTCTCCAAGTGCTCAAGTGAGCAGCGGTTGGGCCACAACACAACTCAAGCGAGGTAGCCCTCCAGGAGGGTGTCCTCACAAATAAGTTTTCACGTGGTCTCAATATCCCAACGTCCTGACACAGTCTCAATTGCATCTTGACCACCAAAGCTACTCCCCAACCAGCCGCAAGTCCACGCCGCCTCTCATCACGTCCGCTCGCAATAACCTTGCCAACATGGCGGTCCCGATCACAACAATTAGTCCCACCTAGTCTCGAAATGGTCCGAGATGGTCTCAAGGCAGTCCCACACCATCGCCACAATACCAGATGGTCCAGAACTCAAAACCGCTCGCACTGCGCGCCGCAAAAAAAATAAAGGTGGCCCCTGGTGAAACCCACAGGCGCCGCGAGCCCCATAATTACTTCGCCGCGTGCAACCGCTCTGCACTTTCTGCATGTCGTCACCCCACGCACCACTGCCGCACATTCCCAAATATGCACCACTGTCAGTCCATCCACCAGGTCACACCGAAATCCACCATAACCGCCATGTACCACAAAAATAATTGCGGACCACTACTTGTTGCACTGTCAAAACCGGTATCATGGCTGCCCCGCAACACCACCACCTGATCACACACAAAAAATTGCCCCCACTGTGACGCAGAAGACCCGCAGCAATCTTCCCTCACAATAGTGTTGCCGACGTGCCGCCAGCATAACCTCAAAAAAATAATGTCGATACCACCGCCATGAAAACCCGGCAGCGCTTCCGCACCACTGCCGTTAAAACCAATACTGCTGCCGCAAAAATCCGGCAGCGCTTTCGCACCACTGCCGTTAAAACCAATGCTGCCACCGCAAGAATTCGGCAGTGCTTCCGCGTCACTGCCAAAACAATCACAACTGTGCTGAAAAAATTAGCAGCGTTCCCGCAACACTGCCAAAAATTCCAAGCTGTCGTCGTGCAAAACGGGCAGAGTCTCCCCTGCACCGCAGCAAAAACAGCTGCCGCAGCCGCGCTCTGCAGGCAGCACCTCCCCTGCACTTCACCAAATGAAGAGGTGGCTATAGCAGCCTCCCTTTTCCTCCTCCAGCAATGTCTCCCTTCATCCTGTAGACCTCCATTCTCCATTCTAGCATCTCCACCGGCAGCACCGCCCCACAGCAGCAGCCAGCCAGCATTCACTCAAGTGAATGCCCCAGCAGCACTGCCACAAGTGTGAGACTGTTGGGTGGAGTGCTGACTTTAATAGCCAGTTGAAGGCATGTGGGCAGTTGCCTTGCCCACAGCCAAACAAAAATTCATCAGAGCTCTTGGCCCTTGATCTAAATCGATGACCAGGAGCTTTGAGCCTTGGTTTTCCCCTATGGGAACCAAGGTCATCCATTCCCGGAAGCATCTGGCCTTTCCTGCAGGCCACATACTCCATGAAATGGTTGTACCTAGCTATTCTCTGCAGCCTCTTCAACTGAACAGGCGCAGTCCCGTCAGCCCCTAGAAGCATCGGGGGGTTGCACCTGTTCCACGGCCTCGACTATATTCGTGGCCGTTTCCCTTTTTTTTTCTTCCTTTCTTTTCTTTCCTTTCTTCTTCTTCCTTTTTACCTTCCTATCTAGTCTGAATTCACGGCCACGTACGTGGCCGTTACCTCTCTTTTCCTTCCCTTCCAATTCCCTACTAACCCTACCTTCTTTGAACGTGCCCACACCTGGACACTAAAAGTGTCAGGTTCGGGCAATCACAGAGAGCTGCTGTCTGTTTCTAGGTACGAACGGGCGCAGCTCTTTGCTACCACGACGCTCAGGGGGAGGAGGGGGAATTAAGAACAAAAACAAAAGAAAAAGAAAAAAATAAGACTAAGCAAAGAACGACAAAAACAAAAAACCTACAAAAAAAAAAAACGAACTCACCTGAATCGTAGGCAGAGAGTCTCACGATGCCTCCGCACATACCCACCTAGTGTGGCAGATGCATCAGCCCATCCGCAAATGGGCTGTCAGGGCACAACCCCCTTATGAGTCGATGTAAATCCGACGAAACAGCCTACCCAGTCACTTCATCCCCTCT